TGACCATTACAGAATTTTATTTGAGGGACATTGTTACCTTCTCCATTCCGTTTCTTCTTGCAAAGAAAGGCAGTAGGGCTGGTTGGGTGAAACCATCTTATGTGTTTAAATAATGAGAGTCTGAACATCACCAACTGTGTACACTGTTGTGCATGATTTGTAATCCTCTTGTCTCCATGAAACAGGGGGAAATGTTGAATGGATGTATTCTAGGGTTGCCAGTCTCCAGGAAGAGGTTGGAGATCACCTGGAATTACAACTGATCTCCGGATTACATGAATTGCTTGTTTATTATTTATTTATTTAAAACATTTATTCCACTTGTCCTGGAGAAAATGTCTGCTTTGGAAGGTCGAGGGCAGGGCATTATACCCTACTGAGGCCCCTCCCTCGATAAAACCCACTCTTGCAGGCACCGCCCTCAAACATCCAGGTGTCTCCAAACCCATGGTTGGCATCCCTCATGTATTCTGATGTAGCAAGAGTTCATACGTCCATTTGAAGGAGAGTTGCAGGTGATCTGGAACATATCTACATATAAACTTTGCTTGCCTGGAGTACAGGAAGGAGGAAGGAGTTTTCTCTAAAGACCAGTGATTTCTGCACTGCTCCCCAACTGATGACTGTGCCTTTTATCCAGTCTTGCCATTCTGAAGACTTAAGGACACTTCCGTCTTCAGAAAAGACGATAGCTATTTCCATTCGTTTCTCCCTCCAACTGCCATCCCCCCGCCCCCTGGCACTTTGCCCCATATGCCATTCCCAAGAGTCCCACAACATCCTGTTGTCTGGTGTGTCTCAGACCACTGACTCATTTGTTCTTAGCCGTAGACCAATGAGGGTAGACTGTCCAATAGCTGGACCAATCATTTGTAACACATTTGGCTTCCTCTGTAGAGATGTCCTCCGAATCTCCTTAGAGAACTCATTCCCTTGGTTACATTAACTAGGAAGCAGTATCCCTGGATGGCAGGCTGCCGAGAGGCCTAGAACTTTGCAGCCTTGACAATTAGTCCTGAAAGTAAAACCACTGTCCTTACAGATTCCTCTTCTTAAATATCCTCTTTTCCATACTGCTATTTACACATTTTAATTTTAGTTTGCTTCTCTGCACACACCCCTCTTTTACCTGGGAAAGGCGGAATACTTCACCGTGCATTAAAAAGCGATGAGTACTTCACTACGATGAGTACTTCTCAGGCAAGGGAGTAGGTCGTCAGGGTATACCTCGCTAAAACACCTTCAGAGTGTGATCTCCAGGCATAGCACATTAATTTTTCTTCTGGTGTAGAGACATGAAGCCCGGTGGTGGGAGGGGGCTTCCCCCTTATTTTTCCAATGGAAAAAAAATTGAGATTCTGAGGAGTACTTGAAAAGGACCCCACGCACCAGTGAAATATTTTCTCTTTTCCAATGAGCAAAATGCTTTTAAAGACAAGGTGGGCATGCTGTCGATATATAGAGCTCTTAAATCCAAGTGCAAGGATACCTGATTTTCATGAAGGGAGCATGCAGGGCTCTCATTGCTTTTCAGCTGTACCAATCCAATCCATTTGCTATTCCTTCAGCCATTGTCATGAACAGCAGGACGCGGTCAGGTAAAACAAATATTTTCAGCTGTTGCATACCTTCTGTAGTCCTTTTGACCTGACTTGTGGTTGACCTTTTCCATCTCTCCCTCAAACCACTGTGACAAATATACCCACAGACTGGGTAAAAAGTAACTTATTGCCCTGCCTTGCAGGAAGGAGAAAAAAAAGATTTGAATGAGGTGGGGCAGAAACTGCACCAAAGTCTCAGATGAAAACTCTGACCGTTTCAATGAGAACTTGTCTCTCTCTAACCAGATAGCAAAAATTAGGGTGTATATGCTAAGATAGCATCAGCTTGTCATTTTCTCTCAAGTAGAGTACATTTGCAATTTTGCTTGTTCAAAACTAAGGTGTTTATAACTTTCAATTCCATGTTGCAATTTTGTATGCTAAGTAAGTTAGACATGATACATTTTATTCTGTTAAAGTGGTAATGTTAGCTTCGCTTTAATAGGACAGTAAGTATTGCATATATTTCAATTTTTCCCAACAGTTCTGGGTTGGGGGGCTTTCCCCCAACATTTCCATTTTCCCCATGGCTTCAGAATTTCTGGAAATTTTACATCTCTGTTTTGGTGTACTCATTCTTCCTCTGTTTCCCATTGCAAAGATCTACCATGGAATTCCATACTTGGGAAGAAGAAATGAAGTGTCCATTACATATACATTCCATATGTGCATAGGGATGGGAGTGCTATATATGTATTGCAAAGTGATATTATTTCTTGCTGCTGAGGTCTTTTCAGTTGTAGACATAGTGGAAACTCGGAGACCTGCCTCTGAAGTATTTTTTGCCTTTCAGGGGCTAACTTTGTTGTACTGTGGTCTCTTTGCTTGAATGCATTAGTAGCCAAAGTTATATAAGGCTGTGCTGAAATCCAGGTTTCTCAGCATTGGTCACTGGAGAAATGCCATTGTACAAGAGAAATATAGTTCAGCCAACACGCTCAATGAATAAAAGAACATCTTCTGGAGTGCCAAAAAGTATATAAAAATCACCTGAAGATTATGCCGATAAATGTGAAATGTGCTTACAGGATACATTTTTGCACTCATAGTTTTAGAGTCTGGATATCTCTTGGGCTGAAGGAGGGCAGTGATTCAAATCTGGCTCAGCTGTGCAGCAGACAGGTGGTGCCTGGGGAAGTACCTTCCTGCTCAATAATGCTGAGGTACTGGGGTTGAGTTCTGCAGCCTCAACCTCTGGGGTAAGAGGTGTCTTTATCTGGGGAAGTGGCTGTGCCTCATGGGCTAGGGTTGCCACCCCCCAGGTGGCACCTGGAGATCTCCCGCTATTACAGTAGATCTCCAGGCAGCCAAGATCATTTCCCCTGGAGAACATGGCTGCTTTGGAGGGTGGAGTCTGTGGCGTTATGCCCTGCTGAGTTCCTTCCCTAGGCGCCACCCTCAAAATCTCCAGGTGTTTCCCAACCCAGAGCTGGCAACTGCCAGCAGGTGAAGACCTTTTTGTGTTTGCCTGGCATACCCCCAGTAAACTCCTAGTGGCCTTCCTCCCTGGTTGTGTTGCATTTGTATGTCTATGTGTTTTGACTGTATTGTTAAATATCTTCCATATGCATCTGACATTGTTGTTTTAAATGTTATAATGTTTTGATGTCCGCCATCTTGGGGTCCCTATTTGGATAGAAAGGCAACAAGAAATGTTTTAAATCAGTCGATAAAATAAACTGATAAGATTTGAGTATAAGGAAGCTTCAGATGTTCCGTTCCAATCCCCCGTTTTGTAGAACGATGGAAATATGTGTCACTTACCTTGCAAAAGTGATACTGGGAATAAATACTGGTGCTACGGAAAACAAACTCTTGGTTAAATTTAAGCAATTGTTTTTCTTCCTAAGCTTCAACTGTTTTAAGAGTTTCCAGAATTGTGAATCCAGCTTTAATGCCAACAATCTCTTCTATAGCTCATGGTCATTTTAATTGTTAGGTACTACATGTTCATTTACATTTCCATACGATTTGTATGCCTTCATTTTAAACCCTATAATAATGAAAAAGTAGAGTAGTAGGAAATGTTTGCATGAGCCATACCTGCAGTTTTAAACGAGCATAGTATAGTATGCCTATACTTTTAAAAAAAGGCTTGGTTAAATTTTCAATGAAGCAATCCAGGTTATAGGTTTGAGTTGGAAAGAGTAGTGTGCGTTCATCTAAATAGGAGGAGCAGAACATATTTTTCTGCAGCCCGTATCAACTGTGGCCATTAGTTACACTGTAAAGGTTTAATTTAGTGCAGGCAATGTGTGTATTAGCATACTTGAAAACTGCTATTTCAAAGGCCTCCGAGTCATTATAATACGTGAGCTGTTTGTTTATAGTGAGAAAGAGCATTGAGTTTTGCAAAGTGGTTTTCTTAAATTAGCTTTTTGTTCTGTCCGTGTAATGGAGGGCTGTTTATTTTGATGCCGGCTTCACCCTTAGCTTGATTTAAAAGGTAAGCCGAGTGAAATCTGGGCCCTGCGTAATGGAGTAGCCGCGTTTATGGTGGAGAGCAGAATGGGATGCGATTTAGCATCTTGAGACATCTCTAACATACATCGTCCTGGGGGGGAAATTAAGTTCCAAGTATACAGAAAATGAGCTAGCCTGAGAGTGTTTAGTTTGTTAAATGGTGTATCGAGTTTATTTTAGAGGGCATAGCTGGGGCAAAGGGTATTGTGGAGTCAGTGTCGTATAGAGGACAGAGAGCTGCACTAGGATCTGGGGCGCTCTAGGTTTGGATCCCCACTCTGCCATGGGAGCTTCCTGGGCGACCTTGGGCTGGCCGGCCACACCCCCTCAGCCTAACACACCTCTCAGGGTTGTTCTGAGGATAAAGCGGAGGAGAGAAGAACAGTGTAAGCTACTCTGGGTCTCTGTTAGGGGAGGAGGAGGAGAAGGAGAAGGAGAAGAAGAAGAAGAAGAAGAAGAAGAAGAAGAAGAAGAAGAAGAAGAAGAAGAAGAAGAAGAAGAAGAAGAAGAAGAAGAAGAAGAAGAAGAAGAAGAAGAAGAAGAGATTGGATATATACCCCACCCTTCACTCAGGGTGGCTTGCAATCTCCTTTCCCTTCCCCTCCCCACAACAGACACCCTGTGAGGTTGGTGGGGCTGAGAGAGCTCTGAGAGAACTGCTCTTGAGAGAACAGCTCTGAGAGAACTCATGACTGGCCCAAGGTCACACCAGCAGCTACATGTGGAGGAGTGGGGAACCAAACCCGGCCCTCCCAGATTAGAGTCCGCACTCTTAACCACAACAGCAAACAGGCTCTCATGTGGGGTATAAATGAAGTAAATAAATCATACCAGTCTTCTTCTAATCTCCAGGTGTGTTGGGGGGAGGGGGGAACACAGTCTTCTCCTCCTATTCTGTCCGCCCTCTCCAATAACATTCCCTCCTTTCTTCATCAGGTTTGGCAAGAAAAAAGAGGACAAAGGTGCAAAAGGCGATCAGAAGGGAAATTCAAAGCATGGCACTCTCAAAGAAGAAGACCTGGAAAAGATGAAGGAGGAGCGGGAAAGGTGAGCTGAGCAGAGCATGTACATTTTTCTCCTGTGTTAAGTGATGAGACAGGACAGACAGTGGCTGAAGGAGGGTAGGACAGCTAGTCCTGAAATACCAGCGCAGCCATCTTATGACCTACAACCCTTTTCATGCCAGCATTTAATTTCCCATTCTTCAGACTTTTTTTCTGGGTTCTTGCACAGCAATAACCCATACTTGGCTTTTGATTCCTTGTTTCCCTTAGCAATACGTGTCACTATAATTTCCACTCGAAGCAGGCCTTTGTGCCCCGAATCTCTGGATGAGTGAAAGAGCTCTTTCCTCCTCCTGCCCCATTTCCCTGGTTCCATGTTCATTTCTGTGTATCCGTGTTCTACTACCATAGTGCCGCATTGCTTGCCTACAGAGGACACCATGGGGATAGATGGGAAGCCTGCTGTCCAATGTTATTTCTTCTTCCTTCCCTGAGAACGTCCAAGTGAGTTGATTGTGAGGGCACAAGAAACATACTGAGTAACTGAACTCAGTGCCTTAGGGAACACCTGTGTGGCATTCTTCCTACATTTAGCTCTCCAGACAGACACTGTCTGCCCAAGGAGTGGGCAGCCTCCTTAGAAGTTTTCTCGAGAAAAAAATACCTGCTGTAGAAGCAACAGATGTTGTTCTTAAAACGTGTGGCAATGAGAAAGTGAAGAGATTATAGTCATATCAGTTGTGGTCCAGTGAGGAAGAATCTAATCTATCAATTTTCTTATTGCCACAGATGTTGTTCTTAAAATCTGTGGCAATGAGAAAGTGAAGAGATTATAGTCTTTCTCACTGGACCACAACCGATAGGCTCCTTGCTGGAATTCACTTTTCTTATCTGGGCCCTTATCTGGATGCATAGGTGGCAAGAAATACAAGAACTCATGGGCACTCAATGAAACTGCTGAGCAGTCGGGTTAGAACAGATCAAAGGAAGTACTTCTTCACCCAAAGAGGCATTAACACATGGAATTCACTGCCACAAAAGGTGGTGGCAGCTACAAGCATGGACGGCTTCAAGAGGGAATTGGATAAACGTATGGAGCAGAGGTCCATCAGTGGCTATTAGCCACAAGGTATAGAGGAACTCTCGGTCTGGGGCAAGTGATGCTCTATCTTCTTGGTGCTTGGGGGGGGGAACAGTGGGAGGGCTTCTAGTGTCCTGGCCCCACTGGTGGACCTCCTGATGGCACCTGGTATTTTTGGCCACTGTGTGACACAGAGTGTTGGACTGGATGGGCCATTGTCCTGATCCAACATTGGCTTCTCTTACATTCGTATGTTCTAATGACAAACAACCTCTGCTTTTCACTTGCCTTGATGGCCCCTTGCTGGGGTCATCATAAGCTGGTTATGACTTGATGGCACTTTACACACACATAGTGGGTCAGCAATCTCACTGCATTTCTAATTGGGGTGTGGGGATATGGTGTGCCAGAGCCAGTGATTTGCTCGTGTCTCCTCCTGGTTTCAGACCTAAGTGTCTGACCCAAGTCCTTTTCCTCAGGCATATATTTTTGTGCTCAAACAAATCTCCCTGCTGTCAACCAAAAACCCTGCAGTGTGCATCAGAACCTGGCTTCCGGCTTAGCACCCTAAAAAGGCAGGGGCTCTGAATTAGTCTAAGCCAGAGCCTTAGCAACCATTTTACTGACTTGAAGCCACACTGCGGGCTCACTGAACCCAGAGAAATCCATATAAAAACTTGAACACAGTTAACAACTGTTAGGATTGTTCCCAAGAGTCTAGTATTTTGCTTTATTTTGTTCCGTTTCAAGACATTTTCTTGTCTTGGCGATCATACCTTCTGTGCTAATGCCATTGTTGGGAAACAGTGTTTACGGGGAGAGATGGCACGATCTGGTGGGGCCTTCTGTGATCACATATTTGGAGAGAGGGGGGCCAAAAGCAGGAGCTTGTTCACAAAGGAATCCTTGGTAGACATCTGGACAGGAACAGGCATCAGCCGCCTTTGTCTTTTGCGCACCTAATCCTCTGAGTGTACAAAATGTTCCTCATTCATTGCTGCTGTTTTACATCACCCAACAGATTCCCCAAGTCAGTGCAATTATTTTGGTTGTTTATTTAACTCAGTGTGTACCCCACTTTTCTCCCCAGTGGGGACCCAAAGGGGCCTCCATTATTCTCCTCCCGTTTATCCTCCCTGTGATGTAAGTTAGGCTGAGAGTGTAAATCTGTCCCTAGGTCACCCAGCAAGCTTCCATGGAAGAATGGGGATTTGAACCTGGGTCTTCTGGGTCCTAAGGAAGCCACAGTGGCTCAGAGGTTAAGACGCTGAGCTGCAGACCGGAAGGTTTGTAGTTCGGCAGTTTTAGACCTAAGTGCCGCTTGATGGAGTGCGCTCCCGTCTCTGGCCCCAGCCCCAGCTCCTGCCAACCTAGCAGTTCGAAAGCAAGAAATTGCAAGTAGATAAATAGATACCACTTCAGTGGTAAGGTAACAGCATTCCGTGAGCCTCAGTGTTTAGTCATGCCAGCCACATGACCATGGAAACTTTGGACAGCGCTGGCTCTTCGGCTTGGAGACGGAGATGAGCGGCTCATCCCTAGAGTCGGGTTCGACTAGATTTCGAGCAAGGGAAAAGCCTTTACCTTTACTTAAATTACAGTTAATTAGATTAATCTGAATGCCTGTCCTTAAAAGGGGCAGGCTGCAAAACTTGGAAAACCTCTTAAGCCCCTAGTAGGCTACTTTGCCTACTTTGGGGCCAACAGTGGACTTGGCGGTGGGTCAAATATTGTGAAGCCTGGACCTGATCCTGATCTTTAATAATAATAATAATAATAATAATAATAATAATAAAAAATATATTAATTTAGAAAATGTTTTCCTATGCGGAGATAAATACATTCAAATTATCATACTAGTTATCAAATCAGCCAACAGCTGATGACCAGATCAACTGACAGTAGTCTTTCCAGAGGAAACAAAAAGTGAAATGCAGCCAGCCGTAACCACCGAGGCACAGTTAGCAGGCTGTTTGATAGATGTGGTCCCTATCCGGTTCTCTGGCAAGGCGGAATACAAATTGAAAATAATAAATATCCTGGCTGCACAGACTCCGCGTTTCAGTGAATTAATGAGTGCTTGGCCAGGGTTTGCACCAATGGTATTGAAATGTCTTTAGCATATGCCTGCCATTGTTAGCCGGGCTCCCTTTCCCTATTTTAAACTTCCCACTCCCAGTTTGGATGCTGGCCCTTTGAGAGATGCGTGTCCTTCCTTGTACAGAAGCCAGTGTCTTTTATTAGGATCCTGGCGAGCTCAGCAGTCGCATCCCATCTGTTAAAGGGCCAGTGTCATTTGCTAAAATGTTGGCAGCCTCCAAGGAGCGATCCCTTCTGTTTCTAAGGCTAATGTTCCAATTGGACGTGGAGTAATTGTTGTTAACATTTCTTCTAGTGATAAATTCTCTTTTCGGAATAGAATTTATTCCCTGGAGTGACAGTTAATTGGTAAGAGCCTATTAAAAACAGTCAGTTCAATGTCTTTATAATTCTGGTTTATCTTCTCTAATAATTATTCACCTTTCTGACCTGGAAACGTTTGAGATTGAAATGGAGAACAGCAGGTGTGCTTAGAAGCTGATGAACCCGGTTGGTATTTTTAACTCGCGCCTTTGATTCTCATCCCACAATTAAGAAGAACAGAAATCTCACCTTTCTTTTTTTTTCTCCCCCCCCCAAAGGGGCAACTCTTATCCTTTAATTCTCCCTAAGAAAACAAAATATCTTTATGAAACCCCCAAAGGTAGCCTTTAAATATACCATATACAGAAGCGGGTAATTTGTGTTTACTCAGTCACATCAACCAGGCACATTAACCTTGTTTTTATCTGGCTGCAGGGGTTGCTCTGGGTGTAGTGGCGGCTGGCCTTTCGGCCAGTGTGTCACAAGTCAAATCTCAGCACATGAGCAAGCGCCGCTCTGAGGCCCACTCTGCTGTACCTGCAGCCCCCAGAGCCTTGCCTCTGAGACAGGCAGCGGCGCATGAGAAGCAGCAGGAGGAGAGACCTGACTCTGCATCAGAGGCAAACCTTGCTCATTAAGGGTGCGCTCCAGTGTCCTGCTATGAGCATCTGTATCAAGTCGCCTTCTACCGTGTATGATGCTTTTGTTGCACAAGCCCATCCTCTGCTCTTGCATGCTTGCATGACCCTATACAAAACTGGGTATGGTGGTTACCAATGCTCCCTCTAAGCTGTGGAGTCTTGTGAGCAAAAATGCTACTTTGTGAGCTACTGGCATTAGAGCTGTGAGCGAGCGGTTTGGCTGCTGCATAAATTAGTTTGCTCCAGAGCCCTCCTTCCTGAGCTGAGACAAAAATGTGCGAGCTGGAGGCTAAAAAACTGTGAGCTAGCTCACACTAACTCAACTTAGAGGGAACAGTGGTGGTTACCCTCTTTGGTCTTGCTCTCTCTTACAAACAACAGCAAACGTCTCATGAGAAATGGACATTGGCTCCCCCCCCCCAAGTCATGCCTGCCTTTTAAACAAAAAATCATGTTTGTTTTCTCCCTGTCACAGAAAGCTCTCCAGATATTTTGTGTAAGCCGCCCTGAGCCTGCTCTGGCGGGGTAGGGTGGGATATAAATTAGAATATAAATAAATAAATAAAATTAACCTGGGAAATGTGCAGGGCAATGCAAATCATGTAGGATCTGACAAATCCCACACAACACGGCTTGTGGAGGTGGGCTGAACAAGACAGTGCAGAGAACCCGGAAGGCCCATTCACTTTTGAACCAGGATAGCAGTGGAGATGAATTGTGTCGCTGTGCTCCCAAGGTCCATGGACTCTACAGTGGATTCTAGGGGCACAGTGGCAAAACTCATCTTCATTGCTTCAGACCATCCTGTTTCAAAACTGTGTATCCATGAGTGGATCAAGCCCTCTTATGTGCCCGTGACCTTCCTTCTTATGTGCAGGCTCGCTCACTCCTCAGGTCCCATTTTTATGGCTTTCTCCC